TCTTTAAAATATGGTCCACATAGTTTTCCTTAATTAATTAATTTCCGTGTTTTAAAGCGAGTGTCTTTCCACGGACATGGCTTTGGTGTGACGTTCTTCAACACTCATTTCTGAAACGGCGACACTGTATGTGAGACAGTTTCAATCCCAGAATGTTTACATGGAGTCTTTTGCAGTAAGAAATACTAAATATTTTATTGCTGATTATTGCTTGAATATTAATTAACTTTTGTGCACCCCATCTGTAAATGTTTTGTACACAGATTGTAAGACAAATCAATTAATGTAAGTTCTAAAAATGTCTTTGTCCTGTATCTTATAAAGGCTTATAAATATGTTTTTGTATTAAAAAAATGCTGTAGAATCGCTTACATTTATTTGTAGATTATTTTATTTAAGTCCAACAAAATGAGCCAAAGGACTTTCCCATTATAGGAAAGGTTTACATTTTTTGCCAATTAATCATTTTAGGAGTTACTGGTCACTGTAATTATTTCTGTAGTCCTGTAAATTAAATGTGAACCTCTCATTTAAGTCCAACCCAGCCAATAAGACTGAACACCCATTCATCACTCATTGCTTCATTTCCTCACATTTTAAATAATTGATCACAGATTGGAAGAAGGGACTCTCCCTCAGATAAAGAGACAAAGCTTTAAACAAAAGCTATCAGAGGAGAGAAACAGACTGAGTGCAGCCCTGTTACATCACCATGGGGGAGGAGGTTTTTCACCCCGTCTTTAACTTTGAGTGAAGTTTTCTATGGTTTCTCCTGGTTCTGGGAAGCCATTTTCACGACTGTCAAACAACCACCTGAACGTTTTTATTTTTTTACGTGGAGGACATTTGTCAGCTTGTTTAAAACACCAGACCAACCATCAACTGTGCGGCCAGTGCCCCGTGGAGGCAGCGGTGTTCATTACAGCCACAATATAAAAGTGATGGACACACACAGCAATATACTGAAAATAATTCCAAATCAAAAGTCCACTTATGAGCTCTTTTCAGAGCATTCAATCACTTCTCATACGCTACGAATAAACAATGAAGATAACATCAGCTTTCTGCAAACACCAAACCAATATCATTAACAGCATTAATCGGGAAGAGGTCAAAGGCCATGGCCCCGGAGTCAGTTGATGGCCTGAGAGAAATCATACCCGATGTCAGAGACCATCTTTGAAGAGAGACAGGGCTTACCATATACAGCTCCACACGCCATCTCCATTCAGATGCAACTGAAAGCTCAGAATAAAGCTAGTAGGTGGACAGTTGAGTTGAGATTATTCTGCCACATATAATTGTTTTGTCATTTTTAGAGCCTTAGTAGTGGTGGAGTAAGAAATGTTTATCCTGACAGTGGCACTAGAGGAAAGGTAATGGGGTCTAATCTAAAGGGGTCATTCAAATCTTGACAGGAGGACCAATATGTTGGATGGATGGACACATTGTGCGGTTGTTTGAAAGTCCTGAAAAAGCTTTGGGTAAATATTTACAACATACAGTGTAAAATAAATTATTATAGCACAGAAAAAAAAGCAACCAGTTAATATCTTCTTTTGCTCATGGAAAGTGAATAAGCTTATTTAAGGAAAACGTTCCTTTGCTGTTGCAGGTTATGAAAAGTTCCTCTGACTCTCTTCGATAAAAGTTTCAGTGACAATAAAAGTTCTGCTCAGATGCCTTAAAATCCTAAAAGTTCTCATCAGACTCAGTGACAGCAGGAAGGTTGACCCAAACAAAACCGACAGACTGAGCGTTCACACCAGGCAACAGTTAGGACGAAAGGCCTTTTTCACTGTAAAACCAGGAAGTAGCCCAGTCCAGAGTGCAGAGTGAGTCTGTAACACGCCGGCAGTGAAGACGACAACAGGTACAGGCAGGAGTGTGGACATCAGATGTAAGGAGGAGGAGTTCATTTACTTGTACTTCAGTTCAAACTCTGGTTCCGAACATACAGCAGGAGGTCAACAATGAGTAACAAACCGTCCTGAATTTATCATTTGATGTGACTTTCTGTTAAGGCTTATTGGGGTTTTGCTGAGTTTTACCAAAATGAGCAGGCCTGTTAAAACTGTTAAAATGTTCATCTTGCCATAAATCTGAAAGAGAATATTGAGCTTTTTTAGGCTCCCATTGCTGCGGGACAGTTAAAACTATGTTTCCATTAAAGGATAATTCCACTTTATTTTAACTTGGTAGTTGAATTCCCCATTTTTATTAACCTTGGAATTCTTTTTAACTTTCTCTTGTTAACTTAGAAAACCCTCCAAAATGTTTTCTTGGCAGGTGAAACACTTCAGGGGTGGTGAGGTTGTGCTGGGACAGTTTAGACCTTGGTATTCCTTTAATCCTGGCCATGACTTCAGTAGGAACAAATGGGTTGAGACACAAAGCTGCTGTATGTTAGGAACGAGTCGAACATGAGTGCAGGGACGTCTGAAAGAGGGCACCTGTGGCGCCACAGTCCAGTGCTGACATGAAGACATCTGCAGTCGTATTCGTTCATGATGGAGGATGTCTGCAGAGTTTTCTGACATCAGATTTGTGCTGGTTAGTTCCTCCAGCAGGAAGAAGAAGAGCTTCTGTGTTCAGGGAAAATTTGTTGAGGCAGAACCAACCCCCTCCAAACTCTGAGGACCCGACCTGAGCGGGGCTCTGAGTCCAGCCTTTCTTGTAAACCTTTGGGTCTGGTCTCAACAAAAGGCTGCATCAAAATGCAGCAAATTTCTGGCACCAGTGTGTCTTCTTAACCAGGAGCAGGTTTGAGTATTATTGAGACCTTTTAGATTCTGGTTCCTCATGAATCCTGGTTCTGATTATTGTTATTTCAATCAAACAAAAATATATTAAAACCAAACTCAACATTTATTTTCAGTAGATTCAGGCTGCCACAAAGAATCATTTGTCATGAATGTCGAGGTACTTTAGGGTTCTTTTTGGTAAGAAGATCAAGGAAAGAAAGTTATTTTTCCTCAAGTTGAATGTTTTGAATCAGCTAAATCTGGAGCATCAAAATGACAAATGGGGACGACAAAAAAGCTGCATACTGATTTTTTTGGACCACTTATTGCTTTCTTCAAATTGTGGGTTGATTCTGTACATTTTCCAGGATTTTTCCATCACCAGATATCTATGACTGCATTTTAAAAATCCCAGTTTTTCCAGGATTTGTGGGAACCTTTCAGTCTCTCTCCTGTTCACCTTCGGGTCTGTGGATTATTTAAAGCAGCGAGTCCATTTCTGGTTCGGATAACATCATCAAAGCTTTCTGTCAGGTCAGCTGTGAATTTTCGGACCCGAGAAGGAGAAGAAATCGTCTGATCCAGACAAAAGGACGAGGAGGTTCTGTCCTCTCATGTCTTCTTTCGAAGCCTCAGTCAGGTGAGAAGGTTGCAGGTTTGAATCCCTGCAGCCATGATGGCGAAGCTGATGTCTCTACTGGACTCTTCTGCCTCTGTGGCTCCAACAAACTGGAGGTCAGAGGTCAAAGGTCGCCAGTTCGACTCCACACAGCCAACACTGCCATCATCAGTAAGGTGTGAAGAGAATCGATCCTTGGCTCGTTCTGATTGGTCCAGGAGCCGGACGCAGGAAGGAGGCTGTGAAGAGGGACGAGGTGTTTGGAGGGCGATGGTGGAGAGAGATGGCAGGGGTGAGGGGAGAGGAGGTGGTAGTGAGGAGGGGGGTAGAGGCAAGAGAGGAGGGAGGGAGTGAGATGGTGGAGGTGAGGGAGGACGGCGGAGGAGCAAAGGGTGTGGAGAGGAAGGAGGGAGAGAGGGAGGGCTTCACCAACTCCTTCTGAGGAGAAGAGGAGAGGAGAGGAGAGGAGAGGAGAGGAGAAGATGTATAAACACAAAAGTAAATAAATGTATTAATTAATTAATTCAGGAACAAATAATCATTCATTGTGATATGAGTTTTCTAATTTGAGAGAGAGAGGTAGAGAGATACTTACAGTGAGTGAGCTGCGCTGCGGTTTGTTATAAGGGCTGTATTTGGGTTTGCTGGGTTTTCCTGCCACTCTGTCCTTGTGCCTCCTGCTGGAGATGTGCTGCAACAACAACAACAAACACACAAAACACACTGTCACACTGGTAACAAAACTGAGGAGAGAGAAGCCTGTGAGAGAGAAACAGACTGATGTTGACATAACAGCAGCAAATATATCAGCAGGCCACCGTCTGAGGAGAATCTGTGTTTCTCCTGTATTTATTTTTTATTAGATCTCTATTCCTTTGTGGTTCTTACCATTATCTATATTTAAAGATGCAAAAATTACAGTTTGACTTTATACCTGTCAGTGAAAAAGATTTGTAAGACCCTGAAATTTCAATTTACTTCTAAATTCACTAAAGAGTAAACTATTGCGCGTCTGTTATAAAGACAATATTGAATAAGGGGTGATCAGATTCATATCTCATATATAGACATTTTGACTGGGAAAAAGTGTCCCATTAAGTTATGACAGTGGGACAGTGAGTCTGATTTCTTAAATAAAATATTTAAAGCGCAAGTGGAAATCATTTTAAATAATGTAAAGAATAAATACAATTAGAGGTTGCTGAGTAGTCAGTCACTGATTAAAAGCAAACACAGTAAAAAAACAGGAATTAAAAGCTGCATTTTAAGATTAAGTTTGATTTAGGAGATTGTTTGTAGATCCGAACAGGAACAGTCAAAGGGTCTATATAAAGTAATGTTAAAGTAATGTTTCTACCTGTTTGAGTTGGATCTCAGAATTGACATGGACATCACAGATCTGGCAGTGAAAGGTTTTATTCTGCAGGCCGGAGCCCTTCACTCCGGAGGTGCTGCCGTTCTTCAGCTTGGCTCCGGGTCGAGGGTAGGCCTTGATCGGCCCCGCGCCGCTCCGAGCCTCCAGCATTGTCTTGTGCTTTGAACCTGCAAACAGAGAGGCACAGAAACCAACTACTATGAAACCAGAGACACAATGATAGATCAATCTGTCAGTGTTTCATAGTGTTGCAGCTATAAAGCAGATTGACGCTGTTTCCTTTACATTTCACCCCAGACACAAACCTTTATACTTTTACACGATTTTTGCTGCTCATTTTTAAAATCATCCATAAGTTTAAAGACTGATCTCCACTAGTTCAGCTTACTTCTACAAGAATCAACCAGCAGACACTTCAAACTTGGTGCAAACCAAACACTTGTGTGGTAATCATCATGTGGTAACACACGTGAAGACACTGTGTTAAAAGCTCTCGCTGCGGGCGCCCGGTTAGCTCCGTGGGTAGAGCTGGCAACCCATGTACCGAGGCTGAGTCCTTGCTGCAGCGGCACAGGGTTCAAATCCGACCTACGGCCCTTTGCTGGCTGCGTGTCATGCCCTCTCTCTAACCCCCTTTGCTGTCTATCTTCGGCACTCCCTGGAGGATTAAAGAACTCTCCCAAATCTGAGATATGACAGTTTTCTGCTGTTTGTACCATGTTGTACCTTTTAAATGCAAGAACTGACCAGACTGACATCATCAACCTGATAATGAGAGAGTTTGATTATCTTCTAGGTTTGTTTTTGGATGTTAAAGCACCATAAAGGAGCAGTCAAGGTTGACAACAAAAATGAGGTGACTTAACTTTACCTTGATGCGGCCAACTCCTTAAATTTGCATCACAGCAGCGGATGAAAATGTGCAATAATGTTCAGTTTCTTTTGCAGATTAAAGATAAATAAAATAAAAAATAAAAAACCCTCTACAGGTATAAATCAAACATATGAAAGAAATAATGGTCCAGAAGTCTTTAAATGCAGCATCTCCTCACCTGCATTATGAGCCTCCAGCTGAGACAGAGAATTGACGGCGACTTTACACAGAGAGCAGTACAGCAGCTTCTTTGCCTTCTCCTCCTCAGACTCCGCTGAGAGAGGAGCATCCTGGGAGGAGGCC